GGAGAATAAAACTGCTTAATTTTGTGTTAAAATCCCATAAAACTCTCTACCTTAGGGCCGAGCAGCTAACGCATTATATGTGATACGTTTTCAAACACCTTAAACCTGCCAGTCTTCATCTGGAGATGGAGACCGGTCTCCCAAGCTGTATTATGCGGTGGCTGGATAAAACCAGACTTTTATTTTATAAAACTAATGCCTAGGTGGAACTTACCTTTCGTTATCAAGTACAGCACATGGGTCATTCATTGTATAGATCCGTAAAAGAACGGGAATCGATTATCAGGCCACCCAACGAAAAAACAGACCCGAAATCTTAAAAGGGTTACGTGTCCGGATAAGCAGTTTTGGCGTTCACGTCCAAACGACTCAATATTTTGAGCTGAAATTTTGAGACACGGTAAATACACCATTCCTCTATATTTTGGCGCTTAAATTCCAGACGTACTCAGACTTTAATTTTTGAGACCCTGATCAAATCGGGATAGTCCCTTTAAATCAAAACCGTGGATAATCGAGACAATGCTATTTATATTAATGATTTTAGTAATGATGACCGAGACTATGCGAAAATTTCACCCGCTTCGTTCTCGGGTCATAGTGGATCAATTTGACTGAAATATTCAGCAAATTACCCTTACACTATCTAGTTTTTAAATAATTATTATAGCGAGAACTGCAATCTCTTTATCTTATCTCCCATAATGTATCTTTAATTTTAGATGTCTTTATTCATAGTCGTAGTATGTTTGTTTGCAGATATTATCACGTAATATCGCGATATTCCAAAAATTGGAAAACAAGACTAGTTTAATTTAATGAGCTTAACGGTCTATATTTTTGCACAACGATTTAATAGGTGGGTCACATTATATTCCCTTAACGAGTATTACTGACTCGATATAAAATACTCACATATATAAATGACTACAGCTACGATGACAAGCACAACCAGAACAATCCCGAATAATGCATATAGATATCTTGGATGAAATTCTTGTATGAACAATTCAACGACAGGGGGTTCTTTCTCTGAAACAGTAATGGTGAACTATTTTAGGTTGTAGACCATTTCGCTTGACGCCATTCATGAAAAGGGTAGGGTAGTTAACCATACATTATGCAAGAGCTTAATCTGCTTATTGCAGGTCTTTCTTTAGGCCTGAAATGTTATATAAACTATTTATTGGACATTTATTAATAACACAAGACCATAATCAACTCTGGATGGCATCGGCTATTCGAGATTTGAACTAGATTAGAAGGTTCTTCTTTTAAAAATGTAATTATTAATGGGAAAGAGAGGCTAAGTCTCGAATATATCAGTGCCCTGGTTACCACAATGCACACATCTTGCGAAAACTACAAACAGTGATAACTTGGATCAGAATGAAGTAATTGGAATGAAATTTGCCATATTTTCATTTTACATTATCTATTTCTGAGCTATTATAGCAAGAATGGCCTAAATCTTACATAATGTATGTTTAAATGACCAACATGGTTGCGACATAATACATTTTATTCGATTTGATAAATGTTAAAATACAAGTTTACGACTCAAACAACACGGATGAGTTCGATTACTGTCGAAATCGGAAATTAATCCCCAGTTTAAATTCTTTCTCCCCTTTACGCAAGTCCTTAACTTCGGCGGTTATATGTAGAATAATTGTTTGGATATGTAGGCTGAACCACAATATGACCAGATCCGACGTCAACGGGTATGTCCAGGGGTTCACAAACATATTTTCCCGGGGGGGGGGGGCATCGAAAAATCGTTGGTAAGTATAGCATTACGTACTTTTTAAATGACTCAGTCGAATATTGATTTGTAGGATACATGTTGGCTTGATTGAATGCGTAAGGGGCATTTTCTCGAATAAACTGGCTCACACGGCAAAAAATCCGCATATTTGCCTATCTGGACTGAAAACCGTGTTGTGCACCCAAATTGTATTATGTAGCACAGAAACAATGGTTTCTCTTAAAATACTTTTATATCAATTTTTAATTTTTTGAGTCACGGAAACAGTGCCCACTAACTAGCCTAGTTAGGGGCCGTGGTATTTTGGGCGTGTCTGTGCTGGTAGTGAACAACTCCAAAGCTGTTTTAGGTGGTACAGATTCAGCTAATCTAGCCTAACTGAGATCTGAAAATTAGATACTCTACCACTACAAATGTCTGGCAATTGCGTACCTCTGACAGGGGTACCCCACAACTTGAAACGTCTGAAGATGTACGGTACACCGCTGTACGATTTTCATGTGGTACACTTTTGAGCTATTCTAACCCAAGAATTTACGCCCAGAAACACAACCCATGGAGCCACACCCACAACAGAAACCGGGCAGGCTTACATTCTGATGATACCGGATATACATGTATTGATATCATAAAGGAGAACATTGGTACACTTTTCAGCTAGATTGCCCCCCCCCCCCCTAAAGAATCTCTAATGGGCTAAAGATTTCTAAACGCGCATCTCTCTATAAAGGCTAATACGCCCTCAGCCGAATATGGTGGAAATATTCATGACATTTTTTCTGGTAAATTTCCACTTTTTTAATATCATTTAACTATTTCATTTATATACAATACTGTAACTAACCACAAAGCGATATCCCATGATCCGAACTAGATTTTCCGTCTTCAAAGGTAAATTTGCAGACATAGGTAAAGTTATAATCTTCTTGGTTTGTTTTGAGTAAAGACAGAGTTATCTTTCCTTTGATACTACCAAGCTTTGTTATATTAAAGCTCAGCCGATCTATTACATCCAGTAACTTTGGTGAAAACACACCCTTGTTCCAACTACCAATTGCAACCGGCTGTAAAAAAAATAAGTGGACAAATTTAGTCCGGTGGCTCAATGGGGACTAACGCCTCGCCACCAGAGAGGTGAATTCATGAGACAGTTTTTCAAGATCATTTGTTTGTCAAGATGTCGACTCTGGGTGGTCATCGGGCGTTTGAGGCTGAATTTCCGAGATATAAGAGGAGCGGGGGGGGGGGGCATAAATCCTAAAACTGAGCTTGACAAACATCATTTTATAGGTTTTGTTAGTCGCTGGGATAATTTTCCAGTTTCCAATTCATCCCAAAAATGGTTTATCCAATATGGCCACCACGATCCAAATCGCTATAATCCCAAGAAACGATCATGGGTTTGGCTGTTGTGCCCGGATTAACAGCTGTCTTATCAGTCAGTAAAATACGAATTGATTCAACCTGAGATTCGATTGCTCTTGAAGACGATAGAGGGCAGAACCCGTATATGCTGGTGTCTTGAACTGTCGTTATGAAATAAGCCTTATTTTGCTTAGCAACACATATCAGTAAATATGGAGACAGGTCTTATTTCAATAATACGCAATCAGTCTATTACAACGAGATCGTTTCCGAGATGAGCGACATCGCAACCTTTTTTATGCCGGAAGTGTGCGCATGCGCCACAAACAGATTTTTACGTTCTGGCGTACAAATACGGGTTCTCTTCCACAATGTCAATCAACTGCTCTTGTAGCTGCAATTTCAGTCTGAAAATGACAAAGATTGTTTTTTATGCCGGAAGTGTGCGCATGCGCCACAAACATATTTTTACGTTCTGGCGTACAAATACGGGTTCTCTTCCACAATGTCAATCAACTGCCCTTGTAGCTGCAATTTCAGTCTGAAAATGACAAAGATTGTTTGGACATGGTGTCATAAAACAAAAGCGGCGACGGCATGTAGTGGACAATTCTCACACAAGGCGTCATTTACGTGTTATTTCCTAAACTTTTCCTCAGCGATCTTTTTGAACACATGGAAATACAAATACGCGTACATTGAAAAGGGCTATACACTGTAATCTTATTAATATGTATACCTTTGTACTTGTGTTATAACGAGTAAATATGATTGTATCAACTGGCAAGCCATACTTATAATACCATAAAAACTGAATATCTTCTTGAGGTCGACCTCTAATTTCACTGACGTCACTATAGATTAATGGTGCTAAAAGTAAACAAGGAGATTCATTTATCGTTGATATATCAATTTTAGAATCAGTATATTGTTTGCAGGACAAGGCGGTTATGTTATCGCCCCATATTACCTTTTAAAATTAACAGTAAACTACACCCCCCCCCCCACACACACACACCAATACCATTCATACTCCAATTAAATAAGATAAATTGAGTTAAATAAATATACGATGAATGCGATAGACAAATAACGTACAGTTTTTGGTAATTCCGCGAATTAACTCATTTGGTTTTACACAAGTGAAGTATTATTTCCGTTTTGCACAATAATGGGGTTGTATGGGATGGTATGTGGTAGTATTGGCCTCTATTGCGAAGTATTGGGTATATCGCCATTCCACGAATAATATACTAAAATAGGTTCGTCTATCCACCTGTCACACTTGATGGAACACATTAAGTCTGCATCGAATTTCAGTACATGCGTTTGTTGTAACAATATTGTCGTTGCGACATTATTTTCAGATTTACAGACAAGGAATGGAGACATATGATAGCTGAAACAATAATGTTTTCTTTCATATTATTGATTCTAAGTTTATTACCAAAAATATAGACAGTATGCTGGTTATTTTGATACGTTAACTGAGCTATAGATTAATACACATGTTGGTCATTTACATTTTTCTTTGTTATAAAACGTATCTCATAATTGTTGACCAAATTAGGTAATAATCCCTGCCGATGTCCAGGTTGGGGACATGTCCATTCAATATATGCAATTTAGCTGTTATCAGTCTTTTACGTAAACACCACAGACAAAATAATAGGCACCTATAAAAGATGGAGTGAGGGCTAGAATAGCCGGACACGCATTGGGTTCTTTGGACGACTATTTCACGATGTGAGAATAAGATGTTAATTTTAAATATTGTAATGTACACTATTATGTAATTGTTGTGACACAAAAACGTATAGAAAAAAACTATCATTGTTCCTGTCACTTATTTGTTTTCGGTATCGTGAGACAACACAATGGTGAAATCCTTAAGAAAAGAGATACAACAGTAAGCAGCACTGAGTTAAACCAACACTTAGACGATCATGACAAAATATAGATATGTGGCAGCGGTAGTGCTACATTGTTGACGAATGTCTTTATAGAGACTGTCGATGTTTTGAGACACGATTAACTTGATTCTGACTGGAACTTGTTGTGTGACTGCTTGCTACTATAGCCTTGGCTACGGTCAGCGATGAGTAATTTCTCCTTTCCTAATTGTAAATTTGTTTAGATGTGCACTTAATGGATATCTGGTGAGCCAAGATTTTAGAGACTAGATTAAACCAAAATGTGAGCCAAGATGTTATGGACTAGTCGTAGAAACGTTACCAAAATGTAAGTCAATATTCTCTTGGGATTCAGCAATTTGAATCCTTCACAAATTGGTTGATGCCTTAACTATAAGGTGAATCATGAACATCTGTTTAGACAGAATTTGGTAATTAATATGTCTCATCAATATATTTTGGGATGGCTACCTATTGGCTTATCAGGTCTTACTTTGATCAATCTTGATACGATTTGAACTTGTCTGTGCATCGGTAAAGGTAATGCGGCATATATAGTTATATTTAAAGTCACCCAGTGTTGTATTGAGTAATTTCAATATTATCTGCCCATTTATTCCATTTGGTGAGTCGATTCCGGATTTGTTAAACACCAGCCTGTTTCCATTAACATCTTTGTTGGGCAAAAACATATCTTTGTGCCATTGGCCTATTGCCATAATCTAAAATACATAAACAACACAGTTTACACAACTATTCGAACCACGCACCTGCACACAGTTTAAGCCAATACATTACAGTTTACATAATTATTCACAAGACACACACGGTCCATGTTTTAGTGAAGTTCACACCAATACATATACAAACCAGGTAACTCTGGGTTAGACCGATTCACACAAATCATAATTTTCAACAATGCTAAGTGCTCATCACAATTAGCACCCAGGATGTAGCACACAAATAAGATAGAGAGGGAAAAGTGGTTTAACGTCCACTTGACACAAACTAGGTCATTTCGGGACTAACATATGGTTCAATTTTATTTTTTATAATTCACTTGCGCGTAGGTTTCGTTAGCAGTGGGAGGAAACCAGGGAATCCGGAGAAAACACACGAGGTTGGACAGGCGACCCTATTCCTTGTCACGTACAACCGGGGAATCGAAACCACGCTAGTCGACTCAATGACAGACCTTATGATACAGCACGCACGTGCTAACCATTCGGCCACCCAACCCCCCACATAAATAATTGTATATGTGCTAACAACATTACCTCCACGTTATATCAAAGAGGCTTTCCCAATTTTCTTGGGGGATCAACTTGAGTTTAACACAATATAGGATGTATTAATTATTACCTCTTTGTTGTGTTTTTCTTCACGAGTTATTATGATTGTATCGATTCCATATTTATATCCATAATACCATACAAATCTAATATTATCTCCCAATCGACCTTCAATTTCACCCACTTCACTATCTATTGATGGCCCTAAACAAGAGGGATATTTTCATTTTGTCTCGAAATAATCATGCACCATATGTTTGGCACAATATTGCCCAGTCGGTGCTGACGTGCCATAAAACTCAGTTCATTTTCATTATATATTGTAGGTCGTAAATAAGAATTTTATTTTCACTATATTCTTTCACTGAATAAGATTATATTATACTCATCGCTATATTGCAGGTTCTAAATAAGTATGATATTATCATTAAATAAGAATGTTATCACTAAATTAGAATGATATTAATCTATAAATAAGAATGATATTGTCACTATATAAGAACATTATCACTATATAAGAATGATGTTATCACTAAATTAGAATGATATTATCTATAAATAAGAATGATATTATCACTAAATAGGAATGGTATTAGCATTAAATAAGAATGATGTTATCACTTATTCATCAGAATTCATTCTTATATTCTATTCAAGACATATCCATTACTCTTCGAATGTAACTAAAAATGCTTAGTGCTTTAAAACTGATTTTTAAGAATTAAAATCTACACTGGTATTAGGTCAGGTCCAACAGAAGACGTAATCCACATATTTGTGTATAGATACGGTATAATTTAAAACATTAAAGGCTGGCACCAAGCAGATAAAGCGTGTAACTCTTGATTGGTATGTAAACTTACTCTGTGCCCTCAATTCAATTCCCTTCAAACTGTTAAATGCAACTGCGCAGAAAATTTTACAGTTGTAGATTAAATCAAAATATCCATCGATTGGTTTGATCAATATCAGCCTAATTATCTCCCCAGATCTGTTGCCAATGGGGAGTTTATCAAATTGTAATACAGTTGCTTGTCTGGGAGTCTGTCTAAATGCTCCATCCTTTGTCCATAGGGCTATTTCTCGGTTCTGAAATTCAAGTATGGTTTATAGTGTAGCCAACTGAAATTTGCGTCATCACATAACGAGATTAAAACTATTTGAGCTGACAAATTTATTTTGTTGGTGAGCCATGAGGATGCGTGGACCTAATAATTGTTATAAACATTCTCCTATTTTTTGGAAAGGATGGAATCTTTATTAATACAGAACTGATGGCAAACTCCATAGAAACAGGAATTACTATGTTTGTGGCTTGCCATAGTTGGAAATATTGATATTTGCATTGAAAATGTAATTGACCATTACATGAATTTTTGACTGTAATTAATAACATTTCCATTCCTCATTACTTCGGCAATCTCCCATTACTCATAAGATGGTCATTATTCGAAAACACGCAATGATGATTACATTAAAAATCGAAAGCTGATTAAGATACAGATCAATATTTCGTTTCATTTTTTATACTTTCGATGTCCTACACTACATGAAGATCTGACCAGTTGTAGTGGAGGGTCGTGTCAGGGGTCGTACGAGCGGCGTTTGCCCCTATGTCGTTAGGCATTGATTAATCAATGGGCGTTAACGTTTCTAGTCATTTACCCACAGTTCCGTGCATCGCACGCCAAGAACTCGCCGTAACCTATCGTTTCATTGGCTAATCCCTCACTTCACCCAGAACCCGTTTTATATAACAACTCATCCAGGGCCCTGTTTCTCGAAATTTTAACTAAAGATAAAATCCAATTTTAATAGATACTTCAATTTTGATTGGCTAAGCACTAAAATCAATCTAATATTATCCAATCAAATTACTAAAATTTGGAATTTATCTTATTTAAATTTTGATGAAACGGATCCTAGTGATATAAAGACAAGTAACACAAAATTTTCATCTATAAAAAACGAAACGAAATAGGAACTGTGTTTAATCAGATTGAGCCCTGTTGTGTATCTAACCATATCTATCCATGTATATATTAATGGGTTTAATATACCTGTCCCGTTATTTTGTTGAATTGGTAGAATATGATTTTTTTCGCCAATTTGACACTCTCGTATTTCCACAGCAACGTTACATTCTTGCTAACAGTAGACGTCATTCGATCGACTGTAGATAGCCATTTAAATTCAATGTCTACAAACAAAAAAGGATTTTATTTAAATTTAAATTGTATTGATTTATACACATCGATATCTTTGATATTTGTATCCATTTCATATACTATATAGACGATGTTTGTGTTTATTAGACATCAACGTTGTGTTTGCTGCACTTATAGTCTGACTGGTTAATATTGACGTGCCAAAGCATTTAAACTCATGTCATTTGTAATTTGAATTGTGATACACAACTACCCACCTTCTTGTAAACTAACTGGTTTGTGAGATATGATACAGGTATCACTGTATTTCAACTGTAAGTGGTATTTATATTTCAAGTCATCCTCGTCTACATTACGTAAGTTAAATACAATATTTGTTGAGCTATTGGTAATCAAGCGAAGGTCCATTCTGTCATCGTCCCATCTTTCTACTTCAGTGCCACCCTCCCACTTAACAAGACCCTGTGTAATGAATGAAAATAGAAACATTTATTCGTGATCCTGTGGTTATATGACGTAGCACATTGTCCCCATAGCACATGGAATGACGTTTGCCAGTCGTCAAAGCTCCGTCAGTGCAGAAGAGTAGGGCGTTAAACAATATTTCATTTCAATTTGCAATCAGATTGGCTTTGGTTTGTTCAGGTTCGACTAGCCCGATGCCTGTTGGCAGTTTCTGAAACTGTTGTTATACAGACTAATGATTAAACTGTGTTCACCCATCTCTTCAAGATTGTCAGATGGTGCTGATATATCAGATGCAACTCTTAATAGGTAAAGTCGCTTAAAGACGAGGCCCACCCCCATAATTTGAATATATGTATGCGACATTTTGGTTTAAAATGTTAATTTATGACTTCATAATGAGATAATATTTTATGGTGATTTACTAACCCTTCGGGTGCCATTGGATTTTCTATATAAAAAGATATATTGAAACACAGCCTTCGATACATATCCCCATTGCATCGTTATATCATTTCCCAAACCAACCATCATAGTCGTCTTATTACCTTTCCACTGGAAATCTATCAATGAGATAAGTGAACTTTATAAACCTTAATACAAATTATATAGTGGAACATGGCGCGCTATTAGTCCGAAAGTTAAAACAGTACGTTGTGACTGTTGGTGTATGATGTCTTAAGAGATTCATCAACAACCACTTCCAAATGGTTCATTGACTGGCATTACCTTACTGAATCTACATTGACATTGTATTATGTTATTTGCTAATATTTATTTAAATACACACACACACACACACACACACACACACACACATTATGTCACAGCCCACTGTGTGCGTGTAAGACAGGGTTGGGTGATAACTAAAAACATCTACTCGATCGTCTTTTTAATATCGGAAAGTATCAACACTCGTCGATAAAGCCTCGGCCTTTTTTTACATTATTGTTCTGCAACTCAAAAGTTATTTCAGCGATATCGTGAGTGTGGCTTATTTTTATCTCTGGCAATATTATTTTATCTCCCTAGACCATTCCCGCATATTATAACAGAAATATCACTTTCAGTATATTAAATTTAACTTTTTAAAATGAATTGTCTTTAGTTTATATGTATAGCACTATCAGAATAATAGGAGAAATAATTCAACTAAAAAGGGGTGAACAAAGGGCAACGTCTTCGTTCGAATTGTTTCCGCTGCATTCACGCATGGGATCAAATGGAAATACGTTTTTTTTCTTAAATTTAAAAAGAAAGAACAATTGAAACAGTTTATTTAATGACAGTCGCTAGTCTTGAATAAATTTATATCTATAAGAATTAGAAAATAAAACGGGCTATAAAGGTTTTCTTTTCTACATCAAACGAATAGTGACCCCCTGGTTCGGAGCCAGCGCCTTATTCACCGAGTCACTGTAGAACCCTTTAAAAGCAGGGCGTTAAACAGCGTATAAAATTAGAAGAAATAAAGCCAATAGTTGACTTACCAGTAACTGTGAGGTTGATATCTGTATAGTGTTCTGTAAAACCCACTTTACATATATATATACCAGCATCTTGTAACGTCACATTTCTTATATTGAGACTAATGTGCTGTCCTTGTCTGGTTGAAGTCTTCTGTATGTCATACCCGTTAGTTTTACCCAGTTCATGTAACTTGGGTCCATTAACCTAAATTATACAATGATATGGAATAATGTGGGATATTAAGATATTTCCTTAAACCCCTATTTCAATACTTAGCCATGTTCTAATACCATGTTTCTATTATTTCTTCAGAAATCTTTCTTGAATATTCAACTAACTGTATTATGCATTTAATCTTACCCATAATAAAAACAAACTCTTGATTGATATCAGCTACAGTTAATGGTGATATGCTTATGTGTTCAAACGAAGTCGATTTAGCCATATGGGGGAAATGCAGCATTAGCACAACCATATTCGCTTAGACTGCTGTATGGAGTTTGAACTAAATTCGAGGATGTGGGTAGTGTTACAGGGTGAGAGAGTTCAAGTTAGACAATACGCTGACCTATCTCACTTACCGGTAATTACATTTACTAGTGTTCAGATGGCGTCAACATCAATATGATTATAGTGAAATAATCTGCTTCATTATTTGCTTGATAATGATATCTGTATGTGTATCGAAACGTAGCATGTTAATAAATTCAGAAGTAGTTTATCCATATAAGTGTTTTTTAATTTGTGAAATCTACCTCTATATGTCTTATAAGGATTATCTTATAAGGATTGTGAAATAACCTATCAATGATGGCTGATTCACTGTGTAGTTCTTTATTTAATATATTTAATATCAAAAATCGGTGGAGCTCGGTGGCTCATCAGAGAATGGTCTCTCTATTTTCTAGTATGTTAATAATGTTGCTAGAATAAATTAATGTCCAATCCAGACCATGTTCTTCTTTGAAATTTTGTTATAGTAGTTAAAAAAGAAAACCCATAGGGATATTATCGAGTGTGTCATACATTGATTGGGATAATAACCGAACTTTGGGTGAGATTATTATCAATTGCAAACACTTTTGATACATTTCGAACACGAAAATACATCTCTATACAATGTCGTATTAACCATCTAGAATCCACTCAAGACATCTTGAAAGAAGCTCGAAACCACTTGATCGATAGCTTGAAGACGTCAGCAAATTCAACAATGCGCAGAATGGTCGGAACCAATAATTCGTTGCAGACCTAGTTTATGGGCAACATTTACCCGTTTCTGATAATTGTCTGACATAAGGTCACAATATAATATAACCATACCTTTAACAGAGAGACGTCATACTTTTCAACATGTAAATCGCAGTCTAGTTGAATATTGCAGCCAGCTAAAACAACCGGTTCACTGTTACTGGTAGTCACCCACACAACTACTTCAACTGCAAAAATCAAAACAACATTACACGCCCTGATGAATATGTATGCCGAACGAAACAGGTCCTTGGTCCAATAAATGACATATATCTGGAGACTGACCAAATTCATAATAGAACTATCAGTAGGGATTAATTTGTTTTGTATCGCTCTTGTATAGGTTACACGCGTGTAATTCACGTTTTCAGCTTAAAGCCGGACCGAAACCTCAATGTGAACATTGCCATGTTCCTGTGACAGCTACGCACAATCATCCCAAAGTTGTTAGATCACATTACTGCCGTTGCCAGCCATTGCATCAAATACTTGCTCAAACAGGTCTATCTATATTATAAGGCACTAACCTTTGTTTGTAAAGGAGACAGGTTTTTATTATAAAATTGAATCACTTCATTTTGATATGCATAATTATCTTCTTAAACCACGTGATATTTGTTTTTAAATGTGTGTAAATTTATTGTCTATGATATATTTTAGCCTGTCATATGGTTGGCATAAATATCCATACCTTACAATAAATGTATAGGAAACGATATCGTGACCATTTTAATCTATATTTGATATTGCAAACATAACTAGGGAGTTTTCGGTTGAGATTCTCTCCGCACGGCCTCTCTTGACAGTATGTTTTAAATATAAATTTAATTAAATGTACGGGGAGTCACGGTGGCTAAGTGGGTAAGACACTGACTGGAGGTCACGTGTTCGATTCCTGCATTGGCTGAGAAAGTTCATTGACGTGCACGTAAAAGATCCCTTGGTTGTTAAAATTCGATATAAGAGTAGGTCATAGTAATGCTATCCGGGCAAAATTTCCCTCATAGCACACTGTATGTCCGTCTTCATTAGCCCAGTCGGAGTTGAACAGTAGGACGTTAAACTCCATTTCATTTCAGTGATATGTACTGACTCTTTAGTCGTAGTATATTATGTTTTCACAATAGAAGCTTTCAATTAATTGTTAAGTATCTCAACAAGCAGCTTGTGATAGTTTTCATGTCAATTATATGTATCAAATCTATGTCGACTCTTTTACACATGGTTTTCTATAGGGGCGTGTATAATGCCTACGACGACATGTTACAACATCACACACTGAAAGCGGCAGAAATGTTTGACATTATTAGATATACAAAAGTATTTACACAATCACTAGTTTTCCCTTCATTAGAAATAAACAGTAACATTGTTTAAAAAATTATTCGGTTCAACACTTCCCATAACAACAATATAGATTATTGTGAAATGTAAACGAACATTCGTCAGTCTTATATGCTGAAGTTATTATTTGGAAATATAGCTTTAAACTTCAAAAAACCCCACAGCATCATACTTTCAAGATTCTTGCGCACATTCGAACAATTCTCAGATATTAATTCAATTCTTATGGCCATGATTGTCAATCGTGAGATTTCTTCTTCGTTACCATTTTAATTATCCTCTTTATCGTGCACTTTTTGTTATCTTGAAAAATGTCATGTACTTTTAACGCAAATGATGCTTTATGTAAGTTTATGTAACTGTTGTCCCATGCTTTTACTTTTTATGAACCCGATTTCATTTCATTTACTAAGAGCTAATTTGTTTTCAAACTGATCAAAAGAAGCACAAGTATTCCAAATTGACTACAGCGTTTAGTAATGGCACAAGTTTAGCACTTACCTTTGACAACCGTAACTGATAACAGATATATCAGAATTATGTAACCCTTCATCATTCTAAACAGCTACAAAACTAGGAATGAAATAATTATGCAAATATCAGAACTCGACTTTAAACACCAACACTACATTACTGATTCACCCGTTTCGATGTCGCTGCGAAATAATTAAAGAGATAGCTGACCATGGAGATAAGTCGTTCATTACATAGGGGAAATGTGATGATGGCGGAGATAAGACATTCATTAGTATTCGTCATACAATAATATATTCTATTATGTCCGGTGCAATATACGACTATAAGCGATCATGAATTGGCGGACCTCGATGCAGTCAATTACAACAATGATTAAATATATGTATGTTTGACATGCTCAATACCAATGCCAATTTGCAGTTAACTAGTCATTTTCACTAATAGCGTGATAATCACTGTATTACCAAACTATCTAGCGCCGACTTGGATTTATATTGTTTGTGTCTCGATGGAAACAATTTTGGAGTACAATTTTGTTTCCAGAGCATATCTCATAAACCATTCAAGATATCTTCAAGAAACTTTGTACAAACATTAACCTATTATAGTAGTTGTGCCTTTTACTAATTTGGAATTTCTCGGATTTAATATTTTTTGTGTTTCCCCTTAGAAACAATTTTAACGTAGTTTTTGGTGCACAATTATTATTCTGAAGCATATCTCATAAATTAGGTATTCAATATATCTCCTTTGTTTTAATATTATGTATGTATTTTATCTAGGGAGGGGGGGGGGGTTACGTAGGCTAAGCCTGTTCCCCAATCCCATTCAGACATCGTGATTAAAATATTGTTGATGAAAAAGAAATCTCCATGAAACTTTGTACAAACATAAACCGGTGCCTTTTGGTAATTAGCAATTTTTCGAATATAATCATTTGTGTTTTTTTGGAAGCAATTTTTTCCGTTATTAATAATTTTTGAATTTTTACTACAACATATTTGACTTTGTTTTTGGTATAAAGTTATTATTCTAGAGCATATCCCAGAAACTGTTCAAGATACCTTTTTAACACTTTTACATTGGTCATCCTATCATTTTATTTTCTGATGGCCGTCATTCCGTACTGATTTCGTTTCCGAAGCATATTTCATTATCCGCTCAAGAAATGTTTTTGACACTTTGTAGAAACATCAACCTATTATAATATTTTATTTTCTGATCTATAAACTTATTGTTTAATACAGTAGCTGATTGACGCACGCAAAGGTTTTGGTGCAAACCTTTTGATGTGGCGACCCTTTGATATTCCAATAAATTGTTTTTAAGTATACCTTCCAAGCAAGTACAAGGGCGATTGGTGTTGATGACTAGTCACCTTGTTTCATATGTGTTTCTCCATTATTAATCATGAACAGACTGGAACAAGCACAACCAGGCTTATATGAATTACAGGAACTGTGTTTCCCGAGTTTCATTATGAAAGTAAACCCGCATTCGAACCATTGATTCAGGTGACACGTCCGAATCTACAGACTATTTTAGAATGTACAAATACACACCTTATTGTCAAATGAATTAACTGTGTCCATCACCCATATCACCCTATGGCAATGACGGCCTAAAAGCCAATTTCATACGATAAGACAAAATCAAAATGAGGATCCATATCACAAACATAGTAAATAAAGGTGCATAAAATATAGACAGTGATTTCTAGTTAAATTTATAAAACAAACAAAATCAAACTACCTTAACTCTCCATAGCACTGAACACGAAAGGTGACAATATCCTGGAGCAAGACTGGACATGTCTAGTGTTGGCGGGGGAAATTTTATTTTAAGTAGTGTGGTCTAAATATTATCAACAACAACAGACGTGATTTTATGTAATTATCATGTTGAATAACTGCATAATAAAGGGTATGTACGGGCATTGTGATATAATAAATGACTAGTCATAATAGCTTGACGTCTTTACACACTATTATAGTCTGTACGAATTATTCTGCAAAATAACAAACTACCTATATTTGTCAAATACTACACTCAAACAAATAGTTATTACAAATATTACACACAGAGAAAAAGAAACAGTTGATTGCGCCCTTTTAATAAAAGATAAAAAAAAACAACACACAAAGATGAGTTTTCCTTGAGCTGTTTAATCCTTTATTCAATTCAAGTTATGAAATATAAATAATGAATCACAATAATAATATAACTCATTAGTCTCGCGAATAAGATTATAAAACATGAAATCCTTTGATTGACGCAGACGTATAATTTGTACTTAATGTTATCATCTTCATCATGTTATTCTAGGTAAGTGAATGATTATGTTATTGTATACCGAACATACCACCACAAGCTTGTATTAATAAGGGAAAATCATATAATTGCACTGTTATATTCCATTAATATACTGAGCAGCAAAAGAAATGTCATGTTGGTGTGTTACTCTGCATAAACGCATTGCATAATACTTGCCAAATGTTTTTATTGTATATTTGTGACCACATCTCCAACTTTACCTGAGCAATAAGGCTCCTCCCCAAACACAGAATTGAACCCAGGAATTGTTCTCAGAAACGCAACCTGACTTCTGAGACGGTAATATGTTCTCCATGATTCCCATGTAACTCATGCTGCACGTGCTGTTCATTTCTTACTAATACCGTTGAGTACATGATTCTGAATTGATACGATTTAATGTTGTTCTTGACTTAATCGACTTTGGCTCGTATATCTTTTTATTAGTCACTGTCTTGAAAAGGGCTGACAGGGATTTGTACCTTGATGACCTTTGTAGCTTCTATTTACAACAAAATTAACTTGAGTTACTTGCCCAGAATATACCTCGGTATGCTCCAAGTCAAAGAAATTTTCAAAATCTTATTGAGGAGACCCTGCCCCCAAACACCGTGGGATTACCTCCACACTGGACCTCAAGCTTACTTTCTTTAGACTCCAGTAGTAAGGCGGCTGTCTGGCCCTTTTTTACCAAGGAGAGTTGACGCCTTTGATCTATTCAATAGAATGAATAGGGTATTGTTGTCCAAACAATGTGTGTGTGTGTGGGGGGGGGGGGGGTCGGTTATAACTAATTGATGAACAGGTGTTGTTATAATGAACTCTTGTTTATCCTTTGATCTCGTTTGACTTTTGTAATGAGGTTAGGTGGGGAGTCTCAAATTGTTTATTTGGCGGGGGGGGGGGAATTACCACTTTATAGACAGCTGCGGCGAGTCGGCAGTCTGGCCAATTTTTTACCAAGGAGAGTTGACGCCTTTGATCTATTCAATAGAATGAATAGGGTATTGTTGTCCAAACAATGGGGGATCGGTTATGACTAATTGATGAACAGGTGTTGTTATAATGAACTCTTGTTTATCCTATGATCTCGTTTGACTTTTGTAATGATGTTAGGTGGGGGGGGGGAATTGATTATTGGGGGGGGGGGGGGGTGCCCTTTATAGACAGCTGTGTCGAGTTCGTTTTGGGGGCATGTCGCGTGTAGTCTAGCGTTAAGGGCTAATGTTAAGATTGACAGGTGATTGTATGTCGATTTTGTACTAAGCCAATAGTTTTAATCTACATATTTGGGTAGTTAAATTAAGTTTCGAAAATCTACGTATAAAAAGGGATGCCTACATGCTCAAATGTAGAATTGTTTTATGAAGTTGAACAAGAGCTTAACGACATGTGTTCCGACTTGTATCGAAAGGATATTAGAAATGATTATTTGGTTGTGAAATGTATTTGGCAAGATGTTGCGTGTTATCACATCAGACAGTATGGTTACAGTTTTAAGAGTGATAAATATCCAACGGTATTATGTTTTTCGAGCGGCAATGGCAAATGTTGATAAACACCACACCTGAGATAATTTTACTTGCGAGGAACCACCCCCCTGGATGTGATAGGCTTCGGAAAGGAGGGTTTGTACGCCAATATATACACGGGCCTCAGTTTTTCGTCCTAGCAGGACGAGGGCGAGGCCGGACAATCGCGACGAAGTTGCCAATTAGAGAAACCTTACATTTTTTATTTTTGTCTTAATAACGAGTAATTGCTCCACCAATCCTCAGACATTCAGCAATTCGTCGTGGCATACTCCTAATGAACCGTCCAATCACGATTTGCGGAAATCTGACCAACTCCTCTTGCAGTGCCACGGCCAATTATTGCAGTGTTGTTGGTTGACGTTGACGCCGACGAACACGTCTCCCGATCAAATTAAACGTAGTACACTAAAGTAAAGATACCATAAACAGGAAATCGTATGCAAAAATCGATAGGAAAGCAAACATGGATAGGATAAACCAGCAGGCGAGAGTTTTCATCAACCCATCATTGAAGTGTCAAATTTGACAATGAACCCCTCCCCCCGTGTATGGCGCTATTGTGTGTCGCATGTGTACCTCAGTGGTTCTGTTGGGGTGATAAGTTCTTCATCCGTGAACATACTCTTAGAGCATGTCCATGACTATTTATCATATCACAACCTGCATAGGTATTTTCATTTCAATATCCCCTACTTTTTTGAAGAGGATAACGGCTTTTCATTCAAAATCAAAATAAAAGAATCTTCGAATATTGAAATCTCTTGAACGCATCTTTACATATTTGCAATTACATTACCCCCCCCCCCCAAAAAAAAAAAAACAACAAAAAAAATCAAAAAGTTGAAAAATCAACTTTAATCCACACAAAACAAGGACTATTACCTTCTCAAGAAAATTAAACCGCACTCTTAACACTCTTTGCTGTGCTGGTCTGCGTTAACTGATAGCAAAGAACATAAGAATTAGTAATTGTAATGGGGCTGTTCACACTAATTATTCCGTTATAAAAGGACTGATTTGTGTCAGAAGTTTAAAATATCTAGAATCAATATACTGGGCTTTAATGTCGCCTATTATTCGACTACGTGGACGTACTCCGAAATGAGTGTACTACAAAAACGAAGGTCCTGTACCTTGAAAACGTAAATCTTGATGTTCTTAGAACAATCACTGGATTAGTGAGAGCTACATCTTATAACGTATCGTAAATTGCATCAGGGTTAACTTCGATTAAAATGAGACGGTGGCCCCATAAACTAACCCTGTTTTACGAAATGGCGAATTTAGAAATTCTCGTCTGCAATTGTCGAAATCATTTTTTTATTTGGACATTTATTCTTTTAATGAAAGAATTCATACTTTATTTTTTTCATTTTGGGGAATATTTTACACTTCTTGCCAAAATATTTTTAGACAAAACAAATTTTCAAATTGTGGAACCTTTGAAAACTAGTAGATGTTATTTAAATGTGTCGCCCCCCCCCCCGGTCCCGCCCGTCACATGCCCACACACCCACAAACACCCAACACCCCATCACAGACTTTAACATCAACACGAATAATATCTTTTCATGTTGTTCTATTATAAAATGTATATATTCCCCCCTACGGTCGTTTTTTTTTAATTATGCATACCAATCTTACTCACCTTAATCTCAAAAATGATGATTAGAACGCTCCAGTACACATGTAACGGTGAAAAGACAGACAACCAGCACGAATAATATCTTTTCATGTTGTTTGTTACAAAATGTATATATTTCCGCCACGGTCGTTTATTTTTAAAAATATGCATACCAACCTTACTCTTTTTTCTCCTCAAAAATTGGTGATTAGAACGCTCCGTTACTCATGTCATTGTTTTTTTTTGTCTTTATGTATTTTCATTATCTATTTGAACTCCCTTTTCAGCCTGAAACACGTAACTTATTATATTCTTGAAATATCACAAGTAAATGATATAGCCACGTGTGAAACTATTATATCGTTTAGTTTCGAGTAATATTCATTTTGAGCTTTTTAAAGCATCCCCGTGAAAAAATATTATCTAAAATACATAATCATTCAATATTCCATTATTTTGAGAAAAAAAAACCACACACAAAAAATGTTTAGGAAGCAAATTTCTGAGCGTTAATATCCCCGTGAATAATATTATCTAAAATACTAAATCATTCGAGTTACCGTATATCCCCAAAACCTGTAAGAAATAAATTTGTTAATTATCATCCTAGTTTATACATACATGTGTTCATTTTATTGTATTTCATACTTGGTCATTTTTGAGAGTAAATAGCAGTTTTATCAATAATTTTCTCAAATTGCATCAATCACACACCAAACGTCAATTGTGATTAGCTTATCAAATGGAGGAATTTGTTGCAATAAGAAATACCTATATTCGGACATTGATTTACTATAACATTAATACATCAGCAGTAACTATAAAGAACGTTAAAGGAGCTAAATCGCTAATATTTATGGGACCTAAAAATTGGCAGAAATGGGTCGCAACGAATATAATAATGTAATATGAATGTATATAAACTGATTTACATTCAATCGTTTCTGTTTTTACCGTAATTTTTAATCAGTTATGTTCGGCGAAATGCGCCAAAGTCTCAATTGAATGACGATCTTTAGCGTCTGGTTATTCCAGTCTAAACCGATGGTATTTATTGCGCATGCTCTCCATATAAGAATATAGCGTTGACATGACTTGTGGAATATGTCTAGCCTCGTTCTTCGAGTCCCTTGTGCCAAATGGTACTGAAACGCATTATGGTACACGAAATGTTTATTTTGTCTTGAATATTGGATATCAGAAGCTCATCTATTCCTTGTAAGATCACAAGACCAATGCTGATTTGAATTGACAAATAATTCGTGTTTTCAATGTCGAAGATTTTGATGATATTGAGTTAGAGACTTAGCTACTTTAACAATAATTTTTGTAG